ACCCCTCCGGATGTTCGACATCTTGATGCTCATTGAAGTACTTTGATCCTTGATGTTTCTTCTTTTAGACAGCAACCACAGCGTTCAATTTAATGACAAGGTTCTGAGGAATCACGGAATTGTAGTCATAGTCAGTCGTACAAACTAATTCACGACAGCTGCGAGGAGTTCGGGCGCTCATGAAATCGTCATCCATGATCACAGGGTAGTTTCCGAGTATCTCGCTCACGTGATACGGGTCAGTCATGTGGTTCGCCCATTCCAATAGTCGCGAAAGTGACGGTACGTTTTTGTCCGGAAGCGCAATAGCAGCCAGTTTCTGGGGCCTTTCGTGCTTTACTAATTTGCGCTGTGTCAGCTTCTTCCTCTTATTGTGTCGAGGCTTGGGGTGAGGGATACGAAGAACTTCGAGTCCGCAGTTAGCGGTGGCTTTCGCTTCACTGCACTTCCTGGGTGCATGTGCAGCCGCTTTAGTTGGCTCATTGTGAGCTTCGAGACGCGTATCGGTTTGGTGGTCGGCCGACGGTAACGCTACTTGGACCTTCAATGTTTGTGTTGCACTCGGTGCTGGTCCTTTTGTCATCGTAAATTTGTGTATGGCTCCATCACCCGTCTGAGGTGAATTTGGCGATTTCATCTGCCGGATAAAATCCATAGTATCAATAAGTTCTGTGGGCTCAATTTCCGATGCGGCATCTGATAAATAGGAATTGTCGGTTTCGTCGTCCTCTTCCGGCAAAGTCGTTGTATCTGATACCGATCCAGCTCCAACACCTTCACGTAGCTCACGTTGAACCAGTTCCTTCCAGGCATGCAATGCTGTGCAGAAAGCAGGACTCGACAGACCTGAGAGACGCTCCATCACGGGCTCGAATACTGCTTTTGCATAGCAGTACTTCTCCTCGGTTGACATAACAACAACATTTGCTCGCTCGCGGCGACGCAACTTCACGTAGATGATTCGGCGTTTCCATTTAACGCGCAGTCTTGTCGTTTTGGTATCTCCTAGCTCTCCTTTCACTTGTGTTGCTTCGTGTGTTGCTTCGTGTGTTGCACCACTCGGTTGTGTAGCGTCCTGTGTTGCACTACTCGGTTGTGTTGCTGATAATGTTGATGCAGAATCCTGTGGCTGGACCGCGTCGAAGGTATCGCTGGCTACTTTCATCGAAGTTTGAACGTCCTGGAGGGAATAGATACCCGCTTGAAACGCCTTTTCCATTGCCGCCATGTCCAGCATGTCCCAGCGTGGAGCAATCGTCAATGCCGGGAGATACTCGAACCGGTGAACGCGGTCAGCAATGTACATCAAGTGTTGACACGGGAGGTGATTACTTCGATAGAATAGGCATGTACACGTCCACTGATAGTCATTGCAGCGATATATGCGCCCCCTGCGTAGACAACATCCACTCTCCCACTTCCACGTTTTCTTTCTTGCACGTAGCTTCCGCCAGATATACCATGAAGTGCTCCCACTGAGTGCGCACTTTTGTAAACGAAGCATCGCTCAGGTGCTTTGTCACAACTACAAGGAAGTCTGGGACAGAGTCAGGTTGCCGCGAGGTCACGGAGTGCTTGCGAATTGAAGCAAGTAGCTGTCGAATAACTGTCGTTTGGTGAGCTAGAAGCCCTCCAATCGTCGCATCAATACGGGGCCTTTTACCGAGGAGCAGCTTCACCTGATTCCAGTTGGACTCAATTCGATTGGTGGTGGTATTGCCTGCAGAAAAGTACGCCCCACGGAGATAATTTGCCCACATCGAATCGCACGTTTTCCAATTCCGCAAAAAATAAGCAAGTAGCTTAGGGCACTTCTCCTCGCACGTTCTTGTGAATGCTGCCAACTCTGAATTGAACGCTATCTGCGTGTTGATACATTTTGCACAACATATTTAGCAACTCAACAAAGCAACATATTAGGCAACATTTCATAATCAACACATGAAGCAACACACAGAATCGTACCAGTAGATTAGCTTTGCAAACGCGTCCTCCATCCTGTCGCGCTGTGACATTGTCAGGTCAAACTTGGGACGACGAAGCACTTTTCTCCAGTACGTGAGCGCGTGGAATTGGCACAGAATAACCTTGGTGCCGGGAAATGCTCTTTCCAGGACCCGCCACTCCACGAAATCTTTGTCGATAACGATAGTCTGGATTAAATTCCAGGACGGGTTCTTCATTTTGAAGAATTCAACGATACGGTCCATTGTTTGAGCTTTTTGGTCTAGCGCAAGAAAGTCGATTACAGGTATGCCCCGTCCTGTTGCCGACGTGACAACAAGACTTCCTAAAAAAGCAAACAAGTTAGTATGTGTATGATCTGACAATTAAATACGATGCAACTTACCCAAATGATATCCGAGGTTATTAGTCCCGTGCGTCCAGTCCATCACCAGTGTGTCACCCCACTGACGAAAACACTTTTTCTGAATGGAGGTTTGCAATGCAATGACACAGGTTATACATTTGGTCTTGCACCAGGAGAACATCATTTCCTTCTTCCGCGACAAAAGCACCCAAAAGAGACTTGGTTTGTTCCAACGCTGATGATCCCAATAGCACCCGTAGCATATTACGTGTTTGCTGAGGTGTAATAGTAATATCTGCACGTAAACAAAATGTTGTTAAGCTTGATTAAAACTTTGAATGTACAGCGATTCTTAAGGTTTACTGCGGTCACCCTCCATCACGAAAAGCACCCACCTAGCTTGTCCGCCAGATACCGGTTGACAGCAGCAGTACTGGGCTTCACCTCGTTGAGTAGACCGAGTTCTTGTCGAACTTTGCGCGACAAAAGTGACTTCGCACTACGATACGAATCGTATATCACCTTCGTAGTGGGGTGGTTGTGCATCGATATCTAAAACATTAAACAGTAGGAACTACAAATATGCGTAAAAACAGCATCTTACGCACCTCTGTGTCTTCATCAATACACACTTTCCACGAGGGTTTACCGGCCTCAACTGAGTAGATGGAACGCACAACGAAGCTCGCTTCACATCCTGTAAAGCGGCAGTCGTGTTCACGGCGCCCACGCCCTCGGGGGGCCTGAGCTGCAGCATGCGTACACCAAACTCGTTTGAAGCTGTGGGTCAAATAATCAGGTATCTTCTTAGCACCAGGAAGCATAAGCAACACTCAAAGCAACATAGCAGCAAACGACATAGTGAGACAGCAACATAAACGTCAATATCGGTATCGTTCTGCCTTCACCTGTTGTGCTTCTCTCTTGTCTCAGAGCTCCGAGCTCGATAGCAAAGAAAGTGCTCGACTTCGTAATCATTGAGCACTTGTTGATACTCCTCCCACGTGCTGAAGACCTTTTGCGGTAGCCCTGGCTTGTCGCTGATGACTGGGTTTAGCGCTTTCACAATCTTCTTGCGGTTATCCGCGTTTTTGGTTTGGCGACGCCAGAGATGATGTGGTCGACTAGCCGACCCTTCAGTGGATACTCGTACCCGCTTTGTTGGAGGCTCAGGATCTGGGTCATCTGCAGTCGATAATCCTAAATTAGAAAGTGTAAATAACATAGTAGACGACTCGTACCTGAATCTGATACTTTGTTTTTCGTATCGTTGGAGTCCGCTAGGGTGGCTGCGGCGGCGTTATACTTAACGTTGCCCTCAACGTTGCTCTCCATGTTGCCCTTAGTGTTGCCCTCAATGTTGCTCTCCATATCGCCCTCAGTGTTGGCATCCATGTTGGCATCCCTGTTGCTCTCAGCGATAGCGGCCGGCGAGTCAGCTGCCACCTTAGCAGTAGCGTTCTGGGAGTGTTTCACCTCTTTTTCATGTGTGGTAGCCTCAGCCGTAGTATCCTGTGTGGCGGGGACATCCTCGTCCTGCGTGGCGTCCTGCGTGGCGGTTTTCGTGGCGTCCTGCGTGGCGGGGACATCCTCTTCCTGCGTGGCGTTCTTCGGGGCGTCCTGCGTGGCGGGGACATCCTCTTCCTGCGTGGCGTCCTGCGTGGCGCTCTTCGTAGCGTTCCTCGGGGCGGCGGCATCCTTCGTGTGGCCGCGTGTCAGACCAACGTTATCACGCGGGCACAAGGTGGAGCGACGTCCTACACACATCAAATCAGCTTATATCCATCACAGCGTACCTTATAAGCGTCATACCTGTGTTTGCGACCAGCTGGACGTGCGCCACACCCTCTTGTTATGCAGCCCCCGTACTGGGCGCTCGCATCTTCTCGTCCTTCTTCGCCATATCACTGTAGGTTTCTCCCGTTCCTGGAAATGTCGTACTTTGTCAACCACAAGATTTTGCAAATTATTAGTCTAATTGTTTGGTTTCAAATTCACGGGAAGATAAACTCGATAAATTACCGAACAACACAGCAAGCTGCTGCGTTGCTCTAAACCACCTATCGTGTAATTGTGGTAAAGTTGTAGTAACGACTCCGTGCGAGGCGCGTAGCCACAGCAAACCCGCGCGGAGAGCCCGCGAAGCAGGGCCGCGCGGTATTTGCGGAGGCGGGCCCAGCGCTGAGCTCACCAGCGAGCCGAGCACTACACTTTCCAGAACATTCTATCTCCATATTGCGAGCGTAGCGAACCGCGGGGGCGCCGAAGCCAAGCGAAGCGCGGCTGGTCCCTTTTCTGCTGTGACCTCTAATCGTCGATTATGTCTTATTGCGATGTACTCAGAAGGTCAAAATTATACAGAAGTCAAGTCAAATGATTTGCTGTGTGCTGAAACAGTAAATACATGTGTTTGGCATGTTCTGTGACACAGAGCTTCTGTCCGGGTACGGGGACTTCTCGTGGACAGGCTGTCCAGGACAGCACTTAGCAATGTGGCAAAGGCCATTGGATGGGACACTCACAGATCAAGAGCATGGCTCCTGCGATTAACGTTGTTTTGTAAGGCTGTCCGCTTCGGACTTTGAGGCTCAGCACTCACTTTCCAACTTCCTCTCTGCGCCACGCAGCAGTACGCTCCAAGTGGACAGTCTCGACCTCGTTAGCGTAGCGCCGTCCAAATTGGACCCCAATGGTGAAGCTCTTCCTGGCCGCAGCCTATTCGGCAGTGGTGACTGCAATCCTGTCGTTACCTGCTACAGTGTCGGCTACGAATGCAGCTACGGCTGCTGCTGAGGACATGGTTTTCGATGCCAAGGCTCAGTCCATCGTCGACGGGTTCTCCATCGCTCAAGTAATCGGTCAAATGACGCAAGTCGACATCAGCACTGTGATGAACCCCAAGGACAACACTCTCAACGAGGACTGGGTGCGCCTGTACGCTCAGCAATATGTTGGGTCGTACCTCAACACTATTTGGGACGAACCCAAAGAGAAGAAGTACGGCTGGACGGCTTCCGAGTTCCGTTCCGTTGTCAAACGAATCCAGGAAATCAGTATGGAGGAGAACGGAGGTCACCCCATCATCTACGGCCTCGACTCGGTGCACGGCGCTAACTACGTTGAAGGGGCTGTCATTTTCCCCCACCAAATTAATGGCGGTGCAAGTTTCAACCCTGATCTTGTCTACGAGGCTGGTCGTATCACTGCTCGCGATACCCAAGCCGCGGGTATCCCTTGGATCTTCGGTCCTATTCTTGAGATTTCACAGAACCCGCTGTGGTCTCGCACATACGAGACTTTCGGTGAAGATCCGTACTTGGCTTCCGTGATGGGAGACGCTATCGTTCGTGGTCTCCAGAGCTACAACCAATCCGCTGCTTGTATGAAACACTTTATCGGATATTCCAAGACCGCTACAGGACACGACCGCGACAATGTTGTCATGGCAGATTTCGATCTTCTTAACTACTTCTTGCCTCCTTTTAAAGCTGCGATGGAAGCTGGTGCCATGTCGACGATGGAGAACTACATCTCGATCAACGGCGAGCCTGTGATTGCCAACTCTCGCATCTTAAACGACCTACTTCGCTCCGATTTGGGGTTTGATGGTCTTCTGGTTTCCGACTGGGCTGAGATCAACAACCTCAAGGACTGGCACCGCGTTGTCAACTCCTACGAAGATGCCGTAGCTCTATCTCTGAAGCAGACGTCGCTCGACATGAGCATGGTACCCAACGATACCAAGTTCATTGACTACACGCAGAGTATGCTGGAGAAGCACCCAGAACATGAAGCTCGTCTTCGTCAGTCGGCGAAGCGTATCATCAAGACGAAGCTGAAGCTTGGACTGTACGACAACCCGGTTCCCGGCGAGAACTTCGTTTCAATGGTGGGGAGCGAAGAAGATAAGACTGCGGCGCTGAATATGGCTCGTGAATCCATTGTGCTGCTTAAAAACGCCGAGGATGTCCTTCCTCTTCCAAAGAACGCGTCCGTGTTCCTTACGGGCCACTCTGCGAACAACGTTGGCTACCAGTGCGGTGGATGGAGCAAGGCTTGGCAGGGATACTCTGGCAACGAGATGTTCCCTAACGGAGTCACTGTTCGTCAGGGTTTTGAGAACTTGGTCGGCAATGAATCATTCACCTACTTTAACGGACTGCTTGCAAATGGCTCCATCACGGATGAGGACTTAGCTACCGCTGAAAGTTACGCTAGCCAACACGAATACACGGTTGTTGTTATCGGCGAGCCTAACTACACGGAGAAGCCCGGCGACATTGACAACCTGGAACTTCCAGAGGGCCAGATCAAGTACATTGAAGCTCTCCGTGCAACCGACACCAAGATGATCGTTGTTCTGTTCGAAGGGCGTCCGCGTCTGCTTGGCTCGATTCCGGACCACTCGATGGCCATTATTGACGGTCTGTTGCCTTGCGAGCTCGGTGGTCAGGCAATGGCTGAGATCATCTATGGAGAAGTCAACCCAAGCGGCAGACTGCCGATCACCTACCCGAAAGACCCGGCCAACGTCGCCATCCCGTACAACCACCTGGTCACTACGCGCTGCGCCTGGGACAACTGCTGGCAGCAATGGGACTTCGGCTCGGGCCTCAGTTACACGCAGTTCAACTACTCTGCTGTGACTCTAGACACGACTCTGCTAAGCAGTGCGTCGGAGACCGTCACCGCTACAGTGACCGTCACGAACGTAGGTGCCCGTGCCGGAAAGGAGACAGTCATGTTGTTCGTGATCCAACCGTACCGTCTTATCTCGGTGCCGGAGGTGAAGCAGTTGAAGAAGTTCAAAAAGATCGAACTGCAAGCTGGCGAGTCCATGGACGTCTCGTTCACACTAACCACTGACGACTTGAGCGTGTATGACCCGCAACTCGGCAAAGGTCTGAAGCGTGTGTTCGAGGACAGCGACTACGTGGTGGCCATCAAACCCGAAACCTGGTGCAATGTTTACAATAACATCACACACCCATTGTGCGCCGAGTTCAGCGTCGACACCAGCAGCGGTGGGGGCACAGTTAACGTTGGCAGCGGACTGTTGTAAGCTGCGATACTCTAACCGTGAGACCAAATACTACTCTACTTCGAATAAAGAGATTACGAGTACTTTTCGATAAAACTTGTTTTGCCTGCTGCAATCAAAATTTGCATCTATGGTATCCGGCAATGCTTTTGCCAAAAGGATTGCCCAAAATTTTTGGTGATCTGTGAACCTACTACTTCAAGTACTACAGTAGTAGCACAATATTTGGGGAAGCACAGAGTACATGGGTATGGATACAACCACGAAGAGGGTGCAGCATTGTTGTAAATTAAGTGATAAAGGTACATATACTCTTTCCCTGAGCCTCAATTTATCGCGGTGGGCTTTCCTTGCCAAGGCGTATGATACATCGATACAATGCGGAAGGGGAAACACACTGAAGGCCACAAGTGTATCCGGACTGAGCGCTGAGCACTGACTCCACTCACTTCTAGAATTCTACGCGCGCAGCCAAGCTGAGTGCACGCCAAGCCAACATGTTTGTGGTCTTATGAAGGCAGGTCGGTTTTCGAATCGAACGGCCTGTTGTCACCGCATCGCTACGATGATCGTATGGATACCCGACTTGACAATTTTAATCAATTCTACTTTTCTGGCACGTAATTCTGTCTCGACTAGGGAAAGCGTTGGTGCTCGCCTGATCTGGATGCAAGTTGCATCGATGCAACGACCGGCAAGTGGTAGACCACCAGTTCCACTCTGGTACCGGTGGGCCACACCAGCGGTGGCCGAGAAAGATTTTCATCGGCTCAGCACTTGCATTCACCAATTTTCCTCGTGGAAAATACCTGAACTGCAACGACGATGCTCTCGAAATGGCTGCTCGTATTGGCCATGCTGCTGCTCACTGATTCCAGTGATTCTTCCGATAACTTGGACTCAAAGGCTCAAGAGATCGTGGACAGCTTCTCGACGGACCAAGTTATCGGACAAATGTGTCAACTCGAGATTAAAATGATTCTCAACGACGACAACTCGGTGAACGAGACATTAGTGCGTCAGTACGCGAAGCTGGGCGTCGGGTCTTACTTGAACTCCCCGTTTGCAGGTTGGAATGCCACCGCTTGGCGAAACGCGATCACGGAGATCCAAACATTCCACATGGATGAAAACGGAGGACACCCGATGGTATTCGGGCTCGACTCGGTACATGGCGCACAATATGTGGATCAAGCCGTGATGTTTCCACATCAGATCAACGCAGGTGCAAGCTTCAACCCCAAGTGGGCACGCAAGATGGGGTATATCACTGGTCGTGACACGGCTGCTGCCGGAGTTTCTTGGATTCTAGGGCCAATTCTCGACATCTCGTACAACCCGCTGTGGACGCGTTCATACGAGACTTTCGGTGAAGATCCGTACTTGGCTTCTGTACTGGGCGCCGCCTACATTCAAGGCGTGCAGGACAATAGCCAGAACGGAGCGTGTATGAAACACTTTATCGGGTACTCACAGACAGCAACCGGGGTTGACCGCGAAAGTGTGACGATCTCGGACTACGATCTCCTCAACTACCACGTGCCGTCGTTCAAGGCCGGTATTGAACATGGCGCCATGTCGACGATGGAGAGCTACGCCGCCATTAACGGCGTGCCCGTTGTATCCTCGACCAAGATGATGAACACACTGTTGCGTGATGACCTCAAGTTTGACGGCGTCGTGGTTACCGATTGGGGTGAGGTCAACAACCTCCAGAGTTGGCATCGTGTGGTGAGAACGCAGCAAGATGCAGTCGAATTGGTGATCGCTGACACGTCACTGGACATGAGTATGGTGCCATCCAGCATCGACTTCATCGACCAGGCGAAGAACGCGCTGTCTAACAACCCGGACTACGAAGAGAGACTACGTTCATCTGCGAAGCGAATCATCAAGATGAAGCTCAAGATGGGTCTATACGACACTCCGGTTCCGGGTGAAGACAACGTCGCTCTCGTTGGAAATGATGACGACCTCGAACAAGCGCTGAATCTCGCTCGCGAATCCGTCGTGTTGCTAAAAAATAACGACAACCTCTTACCGCTAAGCAACGGTACGTCGGTCTTTTTTGACAGGATTCTCTGCAGACGACATCGGTTTCCAGTGTGGAGGTTGGAGCATTTATTGGCAAGGAGCATCTGGCAACGACAACTTTCCTCATGGAATGTCGGTGAGAGAGGGAATCGAGAAATAGGTTGGCAAAGATTCGGTCACGTACTTTAACGGGCTCAGTGCTGACGAAACATACTCGGACGATGACCTCTCCAGAGCCACAGGACATGCCGAAGAAGCTGACGTGGTTGTTGTCGCTATCGGTGAAGCTCCGTACGCTGAGAAATGGGGTGACGTTGACGAGTTGACCTTACCATCAGGTCAGCTTGAGTACGTTCAGGCCCTCGCGAACACAGGTACTAAGGTGGTGTTGATCCTTTTCGAAGATCGTCCCAGATTGTTGGGTTCATTGCCGGACTCCGTGGGTGCTGCCGTGTGGGGCGGTCTACCTTGTGAACAAGGAGGCCAAGCCGTGGCGGAACTCTTGTTCGGCGAGGTAAATCCAAGTGGAAGACTTCCAATCACGTATCCTAAGCATTCGGGACACATCATGATCCCGTATCACCACCGCGTAGACACTCAATGCAGCTATGGCGCTTGTGAGATGCAATGGGACTTCGGAGCTGGATTGAGTTACACGAGCTTCTCGTACTCCGCTTTGGAGCTCAGCACAGACAAAATCACCAGCATGGGTGACAAGATTACAGTGTCGGTCAAGGTGACGAACAATGGAACAATGGCAGGCAAGGATACCGTGATGCTGTTTATGATCCAGCTGTACCGTGCGATCTCGGTTCCTGAAGTCAAAATGCTGCGTAAGTTTGAGAAAATTGAACTCGCTGCGGGAGCCTCAACGACGGTGACGTTCGTGCTGACTGTGGACGACTGGGGCGTCTATAAGCCGCAGATCGGCAGCGGCTTCAACCGGGTTGCTGAAAACGGAGAGTTTGTCGTGGCTGTGGGTCCCGACACGGATTGTGACGTGTATAACGACGCTGGTATCACAAACAAGCTGTGTGCGAATTTCACGCTTGCAGCTACTTCCACCACCGCTGGCGATGGTACAGGCTCACTTGCATCTCATTCGTTGATGCCTTGGTGGGCGACAGTTTTGATCGTCCTTGTAAGTTTGCTGTTGTAAACCTTCACACGTACAGCAACCACAGCGCAACCAAGCACCATTGTTAGCAAGTTCTAGCATTACGAACCTTTATGAAACAACTTTTTACGCGGGGATACGCTCCCGCGCTATCCTCTTACCGGTACTTTTGAAGCACACTAAGGACAAGGTTAAAACGCGCAAGACTTGTCATGTGAAATTAGTATACATGCAACATAGATATTGTCGCGTGTCTGGCGCGGGGCTGTAGGGTGAAGTGTCCTCCCTATGAGTTCTAGGGCTTTACCGCTTGATCCATCAAAACGTTCTCGATAAGTTCCTGACTCGCCGTGATGTTCCCTGCCACAGTTCCCAACATGAAATCTGTCAGCGCACGCACGGCAGCGGGGTCGTAAACAGTGTGGTCTTCCTTCTCTGGAGATACAAGTGAGCAGAGCTGAAGCAGTGAGAATTCTCGATTTGGTTTGGAAGCCTTTGCTCGCTTGGTGACAGCGTATCCTTGATGACGGAAGCCAAGACCCTTGACGCGCTGATCATCGAACTCAAGCGGAACAACACTCGCTACCCAGATCACAATTTCTCGGTCTTCCTCAACATATCGACGAAGCACTTGCTTCGCATGGAAATCTGCACGTGCACTATCAGCAAAAAACTCCTTCGCAAAGTCCTCAATGATTGTCTCGGGTGCATCCGGCGTCTCCAAGTGCTTCGTGTAGCCACAAATCTGAGTTAGACACTAGCAAGACAAGCAGCACACAGTAACCTGCTCTCTCACCTTCGCCACTTTTCCTTCGTACATGTTGCCGCGATGCTTCTCTGCTCCTTTAAAGTGGTCCCACACCGCTTGGGCTGTTGCGCGCATACCAAACGGCACGACTTTGTTTGCGAAAATATCAAGGTACATGCAGTCGGCTCCCTCACGCATCCTAGCATCACGATGTGTCGTTTCCATATTGGCCAGGCCATTCGCAGCAAATACTGCATCCACTTCGCGATACGCCCTGTCGAGATGCGCCAATAGGTCCGTGAAGTCGTTGACATCTGCCCTGAAGTCCAGTGTACGTCCCTGCGAATACTTGGACTTCTTGGTCTGTGACAAGCTGGCGCACTCAACCACTTGTTGCCTGGCTCTCTTTTGCAATAAACTCTCCAGACCTCTTGCCATCCTGATCTGATTCTCCAAAATGAGCTTGAGGCGGACGTTCTCGCGCTCCGCCTTCTCTCTCCTCCTGCGCTGACGACACGCCACCTCCTTCCACACTGTCGGAGCCTGCACTGAGTCATACACCGACATGGTCGAGTGGGATTCTGCCTCTTTCTTCGTGGTCTCTTTCCGCTGTTTCCCCCCCTCGTGACGAATGGCCCTCGTCTGCGTTCTCGGATGGAGCTTAAGCGCTCGCAGCTCCAGCTCCAGCTGCGCCACCTTCTCTCGGAGATAAGCCAGTTCAATTTTGCGCTCATTTCTGGCCCGGTTGGGGTCTCCTCTTGTGACGGGCTTCTTGGGACCACCTGTCTCCTTCTTTCTGCCTCGACCAACTCCCTTTCTCTTGGTTGTGACCGCCCCTGTACTTGGCAGACCGAGTTCAAGCCTTAAAGGAGGCTCCTTCGATAGTTTAAACGCTGGAGAAGATGGAGATATCATTGATGTGTCGCTGCTAGCCCCAGGAAAGACATAATTAGTCGACAAAGTAGACGCAAGAGGCGTGATGCTGGGAGACAGGAGATCGATATCGTCAACTAGAGACAGGGCTGCGCTAGACGCCCCAGCAGTAGAGGGGGACGCTGTGAACATTGATGTGTCAATCGAATACTGCTCCACGAACGACAGCGCCGCCTCGAAGGCGCTTATGGCGTCGTCATCCTCCAAGAAGGCCATGCCAGTGTCGACGGTTTAAAATGATTATGGACATCACCGGAAACAATTTAAGTTCGAATTTCAGGCTAGGTTTTATTCCTCCTAAAACAGATCAAAAATTAAACGTAAAAAATGCAAGGGTTTTAGCCGTGCTTTCGCAATGCGCGAGGCTGCGTGGATGACCAAGAAGTTTGTGAGGGCTCGCAAACTGGACGGGTCGTGTCGTAGACGCGCTTCTTCGTCCAGATAAATTAGTGAGCATTGTTGTACAACAGTATATTCGGGCGTGGAGCGCGGCGAACGCTTGATCACCACTTGACCACGGAGGTTATACGTCAGTCCGCGTAGCATCTTGTGCTTGATTTCAGTCGGTGTTAGGTGGGCAACCCAAATGATGACGTCGCGGTCGCCTTCGACGTAGCGTCGGACAATTTGCTTGACTTGAACATCAGCCCGAGCGGTGTTGGGGTAAAGCTCCTTGGTAAAGTCCTCGACGATCGTGTAGGGCAGGGCGACTTCCTACAAATTGCAATACATTCCTAGTACATGGTGACGATCTGATACCTAACGACATTAGCTGTACCTTAGCCGTCTTTTGGTACAGCCCACCGTTGCCCATGATCTGTTTCTCCAGTAGTCCCATGCGACTTTGGCTGTCTCGTGCACTCCGAACGGTAACACCTTGTATGTGAAAAACTCCATGTACTTGTCGTAGATGTCTTCACGTAGATGCACGTCAATCGGTGCCGTTGTTTGCCAGCATCGTGTCCAATTCCAGCTTTGCAGCATCAAGATGTCGGAACAGCACTTGAAAGTCTCCAATACTCCCGCGAAAGGCCATCGCTCGATCGATGTAACGTCCCGTGCATACGTGAAAGCAGAATACTATTTTGTCTGCAGCAGCAGCAGTACCCGTCAATTGTAATCCAACAGCACCACAAGTCAACAAAGCTAGAACAAAAAAACTTGCACCATACCAGATGAGTTGCTCGCTTTCGTAGTAGGTGCGAAGATTATCTGCCACATTCTGTTGTTGCTCCACTACCAGCTGCAAGCGAATATTCTCGTGTTCAGCCTCCTGTCGTCGTTGTCGATGGTGCGTCACCGTTTCTTGCCACACTTTCAGTATCAGCGCTTCGGGTTGCGTCTGTGAGTGTCCGGCAACTGGGCTCTGTAAGCCTCTCAGGCCGAGCTGCAGCTTCTGTAGCTCCTCACGGAGAACTACTGTACTATCTCCAGGGCCCCCGAAAAAAAAATTGACGACACAGTAATTTCAATAAATAAGCAGACATTATTTATGTTGTCACCCTAAACTAGGCTCGTGCATAATTTATGGTGGCTGCATATTACATACGGTAATTTATGCGTACAGTTTCCTGAAGTTATCTGCAGCAGTCAATCGATCGCCACGAACCAGTCGTTTTGTTGCCGAATCGGCTGATCTCAGCAGACTCATTTCCTTTTCTCTCACTTCCCACTTTAGAAATGATTCTCTTCCTGCGCGAAAATGCTGGTTACTGAGACGCACAAACACTTGACACAGCAACTCGAGCGTAGATACCTGTTATTGATTCAATAAACCTTGGTTATTGCAGCAGTAACTCAATTATTTATTGGTCTTCTAGCTAAAGCATCATAACGTATTGCCAACATACAAGCTAGCTTCGCGATAATTTATCGTGAAGATGCTACTACGATAAATAACAATATCATTTTCGGACCCCCTGACTATCTCCTTCCTTCGCTCACTACGTGACCTGTTCGGGTCGCCGTAGACGCCAGTCTTGCGCAGAATTTCCCTCGTCTCGTTCAGTGTCTTCTTCCGTTTCAATTTGTCGACTAGAGCAGTGCTCCGCTGGCACTTTGTGTTGCAGTGTAGTAGTCAGTGGTACGTGACTGTCGAAAGAGTCTGTGGCTTCTTGACGCGTCTGCACGCGGCCGTCCAAAGCACCGATCTCTTCTACTGTAGTTGTATCTCTATAAATTATATTCGTCCAGGAAGGTTAGAATGCATCGTCATCGTCCAGCAATGCCATTCTCAATGGTACAATTGATGACTAACCAGTCTGACTGGGAGTTCCTACGACTTCTATTTGCTTCGTTTATTACGACCTTTAAGGCTTTATTACAATTATACTAGTAGCGTGTTTCCAGCTTTTTGCAAGAGCATTCTCGATAAACTCTCGATGACCTCGCATATTTTGTCCAAGACTGACAACCATAAAGTCCGTAATGGTTCGCGCATCATCGTGGCCATACGTGGTCTCGATACCTTGCTTAAGAGAAACCAAGTAACAGAGCTGCAGCACCGTGAGCTCTCGCTCTGGAGTGGAGTCTGGAGAGCGTTTAATAATTGCGTAGCCCCGCATGTGATAAGTCAGCCCACGTAGCAGCTTATGCTTGATCTCGATGGGGACTACGCGCGACGTCCACGTGATAACATCGCGGTCTTCTTCGATATAGCGGCGCACGGCCTGCTTGACGCGGATATCTGCTCGCGAGCTGTTGGAGAAAATCTCCTTCTTTAAGTCTGCGATGAGCGTGCATGGGTCATCAAGGCCCTGATACCAAGCTGTTAGCATACGATGTCAACTCGAACTCCTGACAGCACCTACCTTTTCTGCTTTCTCGTATAGACTTCCATTGCCAAGATGCTTCTCGACACCTTTAGCACCTTGTATCCGAACGGTACTCGCCTCAGACGCGTAAGCGCATGTCGTAAGTTACGGCTTACAGAATCACTTGCATTTTGTCAAGGCCATGTGTTTCATGTCGGGATAGGTGTATAAATTGTCAGCAGGTTTTTTGGCCAATGTCGTCAGTGATACGGCAATGTGATAGAGCACTCGCCACTAAATGTCGTAACAGACACCACTTGAGACCGCGCAAAACACTCTAATGCTAGTTAACCATTTGAAAAAATTGGAGTTAGGCCCACCATCGCAAAGCTGAATGTCTCCTCTATAAAATGAGACCTTGCGGAAAAAATTTCATTCAGCCGTTTTAACACAAAGCTGGTTTGAAAAAGTTCGCCGAGACAAACTTAAAAAAAATTTATTGGTCAATCCTGTCTAAAATTGTCAAACGAATCGATTGGGACCACTCCGAAGCTTTAATTCGGAGCCAATCCCAGTTAAAAAGCTTTGTAAAAACATTTCCTCCACAAATCCAGGTGTATATTTCGGAATGAAGATACTATTTTTAGAGATTCGAGACTAGCATCATTTTGATTTGCTGACAATCTGGTTACCAGCTAGTCCGCGATTTCACGAGTGCATTTCTTCTTCTGCTGAGTTGGCTTCTTTCCCTGTGCTTCACCAGTTACTTCCCCTGCTACATCAGTTCCAGACTCAGACGCTGCCGCCCTCTCACGCTTTTTTTTCTTCGCTGCCTCTTTGCGCTTCTCGGCACGAGCCTTCTGAATCTCTTTCGCCTTACGTTCATCCTCATCGTTGGGCGGGTCGTACAGTGGGTCGCTGACAAACTCCTCAGGAACGTAGCGACGCACCTGGTTGTAGATGGTCTGAATCTTCTCAGAGTTTGGCGGTGGCTTCGGCAGTGGTTCGAGATCAGTCGTGAAGAGCATTTGTACGCGAGTTGCATCCGTCACAATTCCGTCATACTTTCGGCGCAGATCTTGGACGACAGCGTCAGAGTCAGGGCCCTCCTTGCACACAACTACGCCTGGAGTGTCCTCGCGCATCTCAAATAGCTGATTCTTCTGTATACCGGCAAGAATCTTGTAGGCATCCTTGACCACATCTCGATATTCTTTGAAAAAATGATTTTCCGCCTCAATGTGCACTAGAGCAGACGTAGAAGATGCCTCGTTGACCGCTTCAATAAGTTGGTCCGTCGTCCAGATATCCAAACGGGCCAAGTGCTTCCGCACATGACCAAAACCACGGTCCACGGCATTCTTAGTGTGCCCTTTGACAAAAAAATTCAGCTTAATCACCTCAAGGTCGGACATATGGGTCAGTGCCAACAGCATTCGTACGACGTAATTGTTCGTATTCTGGCCGTCACAATTGTCTGCATAGATCGTGAGACGACGAAACCCAGCAGGTAGAATGATGCGGCGGATGAAGTGGTGTAGCATTGAGCTCACTTCGTCAGTCCCCTTCCCAGCGACGGTCTCGTCGTACACGTAATTGTACTGCATCGCCTTGGTTGCGTAGTAAACTCCAAACATGTTCACACTTCGCAGCGACAGGAAGTACCATTGCGACGGAGTGCTGCTGATACTAGGTAGCGTGAGGTTTTGACTGAAGTCCATGATGATAACAGCGTGCTCTTCGTCTGCCGACGCAAGATTCTTCTTGTATTCTTCCCTACAAATCAAAATGACGTTAATATCCGCCCATTCAACATACGTGCAAATTAAAATGATTCTAGTGTCCACAGTACCTCATCAGTCTCGCAGCAGCAGTATGCTTTCCGAATTCTTCCGTCTCAGCCGCAGTAGCTCCCCTACGCATGCGTGCCCAGTAAATGCTGCACACATCGCATACGTTGCTGCGTGGAGAGCGAATGCGAATGGTAGGGCAGAGCTTGGACAAGTACTGGCGAAAGGTGCTGGGTCTAGGCTCCCGCACGCGTAAACGAATTTGCTCAACGTAGTTGTGCATCTCTTGGTATAGTTGATCCCACGTGAAATACGGCGGCAGCAAAGTGTATTCTGCGTCGGAATAGTACAGTTTGACGGCTCCGTTCTCAATTTTCTGCTTTCTCACGCGTACTGGTACCACATCACCGACAGAGCGAGCAAATTCTTCAAACCAGGATTTCAGCCAGCGGAGGTCAACTGCACTCGCGTGCTGGTTAAGTCGATTGCCGTGAGCTTTAATGGAAAATGTGCCTTCTTTAATACGCGTTCTGTAGCGCGTGACAGTCGCTGTTGACACGCCGTAGCATGCACACCACGCCCACCGACACACACGGCCAACCATAGGAAGATAGTAGTGAAACTGCTGTCGTAAACCATGATCTCGATGACGAAGAACGGTGTCCGTCTGCAT